TTCACTGGTCTTACTATTCTCCCCAATATTCTGAAGTAGCTGGCTAGGTAGAATAATGGAGAGGCTTTTTAATGACACAATTGCAACACCAGCTACCTGGCAATAAATTGCAAGGCTGAGTTGATGTTCTCCATGAGGCTGGATATGCTCTAAACCAGCATCCAATATATGATACTATTTCTCCAATAACCAAGATTCATGGGTCCAGGAACCAAGTGGTGGAAATGGGAGTGTCATGACTCACTATTACCCTTAGTGACTGTGGTAATTATGTTTGTGTGTCAACTTGGCTGGGCCTGGTTGAATGGCTGGGCAGCTGGTGGTAGTTATTCCCCATGATGAGACTGGCAATCAGCTCCATGGTGGGATCTACCACAAACAGCTGAGTAGCTGCCTTAGGGATATGGTCTGCTTCCTGTATATAAGGAGAAGCCTTTGGGTATGGTCTCTAGCTTATGGCATATTTGGACCCTGCATGTAGCTGTGTCTTTGCTGAGCAGCCTGCTATGCTCTGCCGACCTTGGGACTTAAATGGACTTAAGTTAATGGTCTGCCGTGTGGTTTGGTAACATCAGGAGTGTGCCTTTTTACTTGTCAACCTTGGGGGTTCTCAGCCTCAGCAGTCAGCAGCTGTCTGAGTGAAGAAATGCCTCTAGCTCCAGTGGGCCAGGAGCAGGAGGAAAAACTGGACCCCAAGGTTGTGGGGCTTTCACCCGGCCCCTAGAGCTTGGCACTTTGAACTTGGACTTAAAGCCTCCAAATTGTAAGAATAAACTCTTGTTTGTTAAGGCCATCCCATTTGTGGTATATTTCTCATCAGAGTGGCACTAGGTAACCAGAACAGTGACCCACTTGCAAAATTTGTGCTTCTTGTTCCTGTGGCCCTATGCACTGTGGGTATGGAGGTCTTAGTTCCAAAGGGAGGACACAATACTGATTCCATTGAGCTGTAAGTTAAGAATGTCACCTGGCCATTTTACACTCCTCATGCCTTTGGAACAATAGACAAAAAAGAGAGTTACTATATTATCTGGTGTTATTGGTCCTATTACCAAAGGGCAAACTGGACTGACATTAAGAAATGGAGGTAAATAAGAGAATGTCTGGAATACAGGAAATTCCTTAGGACATCTCTTAGTACTACCATGCTCTGTGATTAAAGTCAACGGAAAACTGTAGCAACAAAATACCAATATTTCTCTCAATGGCTCAGACCCTTCAGGGATGAAGATTTGGGTCATCTCATCAGGCAAAAAACCATAGCCAGCTGAGCTGCTTGCTGAGGGCAAAGGGACTACAGAATGGGTGGCTGTATTTCTAAATACCAGCTATGACCACATGACCAGTTGCAGAAACAAGGACTGTGATTGTTATCATATTTCTTCCTTGTACGTGTGCATCAAATATTTTTTATTTCTCTAGTGGCATAGTGCCTAAGGCATTTGACTGCTAACCAGAAGGCTGGTGGAAGGAAGACTGGGCAATCTACTTCCATAGAGATACTGTCTTGGAAACTCAAGGAGGGGTTGCTATGAGTTGGAAACGACACGATGTCAGTGAGTTTGGTTTTGTTTTCTTTTGAATGTGGCACTTAAGGAGCTCTCGTGGTGTAGTGGTTAAGGCATTTGGCTGCTAACCAAAAGGTCAGTGATTCAAATCTACCAGCTACTCTGTGGAAGAAAGATAGGCAATGTGCTTCTATATAGATTTACAGCCTATGACACCCAGTGCGGGTCACTATGAATCAGAATCCACTTGATGACAGTGAGTTTGAGTTTTCTTTTTGAGTGTTGCACTTAAAGAATACTCTTTTGTAATTTGTGAGTTCTTTGAGCATGAGAATGGACTAAAGGGTTACCATGAAAGAGAAATTTGTATGTCATTCCTCCAAATTGCTGGATGATGTTTGAAGAGGCTGTAAGAAACACAGAAAAGGATGAACTAATTTCATCTCAGTTGTTTGATGTTATGTGGTTTGCAAACAACTCATAGATAAGATTAAAAAAAAAATTTGCTCAAACATTGGAAAGAAAGACTGCTTCTGAAGTCGAACACAATGCTAGGGGAAAAAAAAAAAAAAAAAAAAAAAAACACCTCCCTGCCCTCAAGTCATCTCTGACTCATAGCGACCCCTCCTTGGGTTTCTGGGGTGGTATCTCCACTGAAGTAGATCGTCGTCTTCCTTCCGAGGAGTGGCTGGTAGGTTTGAACTGCCTGCCTTCCCGTTAGCAGTCAAATGCCTTAGGCACTGTGCCACCAGAGCTCCCATAATCCCGGAAGAGGGGAGCAAATTAAAAGGTTCTTTACTTATTTCTGCACTACCGATTTTTTTTTTTTAATAATAAAGTTCAAATTGTCTCTTGCTGTACAAACGTAATCTACCAAAATAGTCTTTCTAACAACAAGTGGATAGGCATATTTGGAGAGCAGAAACCTAATTACTGCACATTAAAACAACCTACTGTTGCTAATAGGTAAAATCCTAAGTGTTGGATGCTCAAATACTTTTGTTGAGAGGACATTTAACTTGTAGACACAATAAAAAGTCATGTGGGCTTTGTAGGAGCAGAGTTCCAAGTCAAAGTGAGTCTTGTGACTGACTATATTCTATTTTGCCACTGCCTAAAAGAACAGAATATTATCATTAGGCAGGTAGTTCAGTAAAGAATTGGTAGACAGGGACACAAAAGAATAAAATATTATACTCTGTTGTAAAGATAGAAAAGACCAAGAAATTATCATTTTTTATTAAATATAGGTAATATCTCATTAATTAACCCTATTGTATTTATATTATCCTTTATAAAATCTTGTATGTTCCTAAAAATATACAGTACCTTGTGTCTTAGGACAGCATGATAAAATATTCTACAAATTGCAAATACCTAATAATCAAAAAATATGAAAATGGATTTCCATATCAGAAGGTTGAACAAAACATAAAATATTCTTACCCTCTTTTCATAGATGTTATCTAATTTGTGCTATAATTAGTTACTACTTTTTGTCACTATTATATAATCTTGTTGCTGCTTTGTTAAAATAATGGCTTTTATGTAAAAAATACATAATAGAACATAAAATTTCAAATGAATATTTTAAAATTTTATGTTAAGTAATAACATGTATGTATATAAATATTTATCGGTGTGTGAATATAAACATATATATAAATATATATGCGTTATATATTTGGTTTCGCAGCCTTAGGTTAGCTAAGAAAGTTAATGTCTACTTCTTACTGAAATAAACTTGTGATTTTACCTGCAGCACAATGTATTTCTAGAGTTTTTCTCAAACCTTGCCCTACAGGAAAGGGTGCAGAACACATTGTCCTTGGGAAAGGAGGGTGAACAAGTACAAAAGTTGTGAGGTGGAATAGGGAGACAGTGGATGATGCTGGTGCCTAGATCTCCAGGATGCTCTGTTTCTCTTAGTCCCACCCAGACAAGCTCTGGAATAAACCCTCTTGAACGTCACTGGGCCCAGAGTGACTGGAGGCAGAGGTAGCCCCTGGGCTCAGGCCTTTAAAGGGGTTCCAGCCCTGTGGGTATCCACAGGGAGCTTTGGGCTTCTGGTTCTCATTCCTCTGCAGTGAGCTGTCATTAGCAGGAAGTACTTCTAGACAAGATACTAGCATTGCCACCTGCCACCCTCCGAATGATGCCCAGAAGAGAAGTACTGAAAATTGACTTTTATGTGTCCCAGAGTCTACATAAGCCTGGGTTTCTGCACAGATTGGACATCTTTCTCATATCCAGGAGAGGGACGGGGTTTTCTGAAAGACTATGGGATTCAGAAAAAAAGAACTTGTTTATATTTTCTGGGGGAAGATATTGTTTGTGCTTTCACAGCTTTATCACAAGGCCTATCACTTAGTTTATAGATGGATGTTTATTTAAGGGTTTGTTGTTGTTGTTATGTGCCGTTGAGTTGGACCTGACTCATAGCGACCCCTCCTTGGGTTTCCGAGGTAGTATCACTACGGAAGTAGATTGCCCCACCTACCTTCCAAGGAGTGGCTGGTGGGTTTGACCTGCCAGCCTTCTGGTAAGCGGTCAAGTGCCTTAGCCACTATACTACCAGAGCTCCCTTATTTAAGGGTAGGAAGAGACATTTTCAATCTTATTGTAGAGAGATATCATCTTAAGTACAGAGGCCCTGATGATTATGGGACCAGTGGCAGATGAGGCATATAATCAAAATACCAGTTAGCCAGGTGTGACCAAGTGGACAGGCTGAGGGACTGAGGGCACTACATGAGCAGAGGCTCTGAACTCATGCATGGTGTTATGGGCTGGAAAAGAATGGTTGAATTGGGCAAGAGCAAGTGATAGGCATATCTACCAGTGTGGATCCAGTTTATGTGTCATATTACTCTAAGCTCTGCTTTGTTGGCACCCCTTGCTGTCCATGAGCCCACTCTTTGACAGGATAAGAACATGGCAGGGAGGGCCCAGGTGTGATAGCATCACTATGGAGGACTGTGCTGATCCATGAACAGAGGAAGATGAAGGTGGAGCCAGAAAGGAGGTGGTCACAGATCATGGCAGGCCCCAATTATGTTGATGTTAGTCTCAGTAACTTTTATCTCTGTCCTTTGTGTTGTTGGGCTATGGTGAGTTTAGGAAGGAGGAAAGGCTGTCATTGACAGCCTCATGAACAATTTCCATTGTTCCTCTAGGAATTCATAGGGCCACAGATGGACCTGGCCTTAGGCATGCTGCTAGGATGGGAGTGTGCACAGATGTGAATTATTGGCATGTGTGGGGAGTTTGTGGATTGGTGAGCAGGGGGAGCCGAAAAGAGGGTGATGGAGGTACAATTAGAGTCTCGATGGCCCTGTGTGGAGTACAGCAAGTAACCAGAGGATATATTCAAGGAAGAAGCAGCTGGCAGCTCCTCTACACTGGGAGATAATCTTTATTAAGAATGTGGCCTCTTCCATCCACGCAAATGTGGACCTTGCCACAAAACCCAGGGCCAGTGGATTAGCTATGTCAGGATGCATTCATTATTCTGGAGATCCAGGGGACAAAGCTGGATATTCTGGTGTAGACTCCAGTTGAAGTTGTATTGTATCCATGGCTGACAATGCCCTGGGCCACACTGTTACACACCAAGGGTCCCCCTAAGTCACCCTGTAAACAGAGAAGGGAAGAGTCTTATCACAGGCTCTTCTGACTTCCTCCCCCAGGCACTTTTTTTCTCATTGGTTTCCACTTCACCAGGATGTGAGTGTTCAGAGGAAGATGGTACTGACTGGTCATCATTCCCTTTGGCACTGAATTAAGGGTGGGCAGAGTTCCTACCCCTGGGCACACCTGTACAGTGAACCTCTGCCTTGGCTGAATTCTCTCTCCAGCTCAACTGAGTCCCAGTCTTTCTTCTTATTTATCCATGGAGAAAGGACAAGAGATGAGCTGGAAGGAGTTACTCAGGTCTTATGGTTTGGGAACAGAATGCCTCCACCCATAGTCAGCTCTGGTCTACCCTTGGCTCCATTGACAGCAAATGCCTGACCGTGTGGTTTTAGAATTACTCTGTTTCTGGGACAAGGTAAGAAAGATTATTGTCTTCTTACCATTTCTGCACTCTTTGACTGCCAAGGGTTTCCCACACACAGCTGAGTGGCATCATTGTAGTGTGAGTAGGTTTGGTTGCATATCTTCTTTTCCTGTACTTCCAGGTCTACTTCACGCAGTGTGCCTGAATACCTGTCATTATCCATTTTTCCCCAGCCTGCCATGCTGCACACCTGCTTTGGCTTCACCCAATCCTTACTCTGTGGTAGGGCAATGGTCTTCACAGCCATGCTCAGTTGTGCCGTGTATTTCAGCTGGTCAGAGAGGGTTAGAGATGACAGTTCAGATACTGCCCTGTCACTGGGGCTCATAGCAGATATGAAGTTGCACATTTCTCCTCTGTCTGGAAAGTCACTCCCAAACCCAAAAACAAACCCACTACTATTAAGTTAATTTCAATACATAATGACCTTATAGGACAGAGTAGAGCTGCCCCATAGGTTTTCCAAGGTTGTAAATCTATACAGAAGCAGAGTGCCTCATCTTTCTCCCACAGAGCACCTGGTGGGTTCAAACACCAAACATTTTTTGGTTAGCAGTGAGCACTTGAACAATTGCACCTCTGGGGCTTCTGGAGAGTCTTTTAAGTTCCTTTTGTTGCACTGGGACCAGTAGAGCATAGAAGCTAGAAAAGAGGAGGTCGCGAGTTTCTGAATGAACTGAGGGTTTCTGATACCCTGGGTGTGCACTTGAATGGACAAAATGGTACCTTCAGTAACATGATGTCATTGTCGAATGTATCAGTTTTAAACTCCGGATGAGGGAAATGTTGATGCACAGGAATGACTTGTATAGTGGGTTCAGATATTGTGGAATTATGAGCTCCTAAGATGACATAGGACATAGCTCTGCAAAAAACAAAAAACAAAACCAAAAAACCCTAGCTATAGTATGTCAGATGAACTTCAATTCTGTTTCAGATAAGGATATTGATGTTCAAGACCAAGGCAGGCCTGAAGCCAAATTAAATTGGGAGGAGAAAGATCAGACAGAAATCATGTCTCCATTCTCCCCTCCAACTTCTCAGTCAAATATGTTGTTGTTGTTGTTATGTGCCGTCAAGTCGGCCCTGACTCATAGCGACCCCTCCTTGGGTTTCCGAGGCAGTATCACTACGGAAGTAGGATTGCCCAACCTTCCTTCCAAGGAGTGGCTGGTGGGTTTGAACCACCAGCCGTCTGGTTAGCAGGCAAGTGTCTTAGCCACTATGCTATACTGTTATCTTCTTTTTCTATGCAGCCTTGATTCAGTCCTAATCCTTCAACAGCCTCACCTGCTATCCCAGTCCTTGCCCACACATTCCAACTCTGGATCCCACACTCAGTTTCACCCAGATTGGAATGCATTATTGCTTCACTGATGAGCTCACGGAGCCCCATGCATTGAAGGATCATCATGAGCTATGTCTGGGGATGCTGTTGCAAGTTCCTAGGGAAAAGGAATCCATTTCCTGTTCCTCACCTGTAACAATGAGCTGCTGTCATCACAAAGTCTTCTCGCACCAGAAAGCCCGCACAGAAGTCCCACTTAAGGTTGTCAGCAGAGATCCCTATTCTTGCCATGTAGGGTAGAGAGTGTGGTCTGGTCTCTGTGCCCCCTCTGGTCACTGCATAAAGATAAAAATCTTCCATGGATATCTGTCCTCACAGACTCCAGAGGATGAGTACTGGCTGTGGCCTGGACAATGGGGAGGTTTCAGGCTGTGTTAATCTGTGAAGTTTAACTTGAGTTGGAAGAGAGCAGGATGCAGGGCCCCTAACACAGAGATGCCCTCCAGGCTCCTGTGAACAACATGGTTGGCTTGTAACATGGCCCATTTCTTCCCTAGTTCTCACTTACTTCCTCAGGAGATAAGGGGGCTAAGAATTCTTTTTTTGGAGGGTGGTTTAAATATATTTCAGAAACTTATTAAAGGCCTTCAGGACTCACAGCCAAGAAGACCTAGAAAATACTCTTTCTGACCTGTTCTGGATGCTTCCTTGTTTTTAAAAATTTCAGAACTGTGGTATCCTGAATCCTTTCAGCATGGGCTGATTTCTAAGGGCTGAAAATGATGAGCTCTTAGACCAGAACCCTTTGAATCTTTCTTGTTTATCCTGAGTCTGAACTACAACAGCAGCAGCAACAACAACATAATAATAATTATAAATGTTCATTGAATGCATGAATGAACATTTCGGATTGTTTTTGGCCTGAGTTTGGGGAGGAGAAGTCCTAATGAACTATTTTTATTTTTATTTTATTTTAAGAATTTGTTTTACATACAACGTTATGTGTACATTTAGTTTCAGTCCCCATTTACCATGCCCAATCCTAACTCAGTCTCTCCTTTCCCTGCCCAGTAACCCTCTCCCTGTGCCCCTCATAGTTATACACTCCTGTGTGTCCTTCATTTCCTCAGTGTGAATGTTGCCCCTCTGGTGCTCTGTGGTCGATTGCTCTAAGGGATGTATTACCATAGCGTATACGGGTGTGTCATCCTGGGTTGAGTGGTCTGCATATACATCTTGTTAACTATTGGGCTGGGATCCAGCCCTTGGGAGTGAGTTTTATTTCAGCTGCAGAATGTATTCCAGGGTCATAGTATTGGGGGTCTCATCAGACTCCATCCGACCAGTAATTCTGGTCATTATTGACTTTTTGAATTTTGTTCCATGTTTTTCCTCCCACTCTATGCAGGATCTCCAGTTTTGATCCTTTCCTGAGTGGTTGGCATTGGTAGCTGGGCATCATCTAGTTCTGGTCTCGAGGGTCATTGTGTCCTAGGGCTGATTGCTTCCAAAGACCCTTGTTTTTTTGTGCTCTTCTTGGCTTCCAATGCTAGAAGACCATTAGGTGCATTTTACATGGCCACTTGAAAGCTTTTAAGACCCCAGTTGCTACTCACCAATGTAGGATGCAGAACAAGGCTTTTATGTATTTTGTTGTGCCAATTGAGTCTGGTGTTCCCCTGTACTATGGTCCTGAGACAGTAGATCTCAGGTATTAGCATCTGTCATCTATCTCTTATGTGTACAATTCTATGTTCTCTCATTTCCTAGTGTTATCATGGTGGTCACAGACTCTTTCCATATATCCCTCCCCTTACCCACATCAGCGTGTGGGCCCCAACTAGCCTGAAATTAATCCCTCCAAACTCTGGTAACCTACAAATTGAGTTCCCTTTCCCAAGCAAACCCTTCTTTGTCTTTTTACAGTAATGGGCTCATATAGTACTTGTCCTTCTGCGATTGACATTTCACTCAGCATAATGTCCTCCAGGCTCATCCACATTGTGAGATGATTTGTGTAGCGCTCATTGTTCTTTAATGTAGCATAGTATTCCATTGTGTGCATGTACCATAATTTGGTTATCCACTTATCCATTGATGGGCATTTAGGTTGTTTCCATCTCTTTGCTATAGTGAATTGTGCTACGATTAACATAGGTGTACATATGTCTGTGCGCTGTCTCTCACCTCTTTAAGGTATATTCCTAGTAATGGAATTGCTGGGTCAAATGGTATCTCCATTTTCAGTTTTTTAAGGAAATGCCATACCGTATGCCACAATGGTTGTACCATTTTATAATCCCACCAGCCTTACACAAGAGTTCCAATCTTTCCACAACCTCACCAGCATTTGTTATTTTCTGACCTGTTGAACTTTGCTATTATTGCTGGGGTGAGATGATATCTCATTGTTGTTTTGATTTGCATCTCTCTAATGACTAATGATCATGAGCAATTTCTCATGTGTTAGTTGGCTGCCAGTATATCATCTTTGGTGAAGTCTCAGTTCAAATCTTTTGCCCATTTGTGAATTGGGTTATTTGTCTTTTTGGTGTTGAGATGTTGAAGTTTTCTATCAATTTTGGAGATAAGTCCTTTATCAGACATGTCATAGGCAAACATTTTCTCCCAATCTGTAGTTTCTCTTTTCACCCTTTTGACAAAGTCTTTCGATGAGCATAAGAATTTAATTTTTAGAAGGTAGGTCCCAGTTACTTACCTTCTCTTCTACCTCCTGCACATTCTGGGTTATGCTTGATAGTCTATTTATGCCATAAATTAGGGCCTCCATATTTGCCCCTATTTTATCTTTGATGAATTGTGTAGTTTTGGGTTTTACATTTAAGTCATAACTTCTTGTTAAACTGAGCCTCAGACATAAAGAGTGATGAGGAGAAAAACTTGAAATCAAAGTGGAGACATTGAAATGAGCTTCAAATATCTGGTTGGAAACCATGTCTTCATCAGGACTTGAGGAGTGGTGAGTGTGCCAAAAGTTCAATGACCCAGTTAAGTTCTGACTATCTGTTTTAGAAGAGCAGTGGAGCTCAGCTGAATTAGGACAAGGTGACAATGAAGTCTTGAAAATGGAATATAAAATAACTCTTTACTTCTTGATCTGTACAATGGCACCTAATGCTGAACTGTCCATTCTTAGGTTTAGGGAAAGGAAATTTACAGTACTCACTTTTTACTTTTCCAACCCCACCAGAATCTTTGGTTATCCTAATAATAAATCACTTCCCATATAACAGAGGTGTAGCCCATGTAAAGGAAATGACCTACCAGGTTTTTTTGGGAGCATTTTTTTCTCCCTATCATTTCTGTACATTGTTTATGAAGCCACAGAGTTCAACAAATTCAAAGGGAGCAACTGAGTTCAGGATGCATCATAGAGATAAGTTGAGTGGAGCTGTGTAGAAGTCACTGGTGAAGTAAGTCAGGCCTCTGAGGTGAGGACAGTCACTTACCTATGAAGGCCTCAGAGAGCAGAGGGAAGGCCAACAGGAGCAGGATTGGCAACATCTTTTCAGAAAGTATGAAGTTGATTTTAGTTTCTTTTCCAGGCTTTATAACCCAAGATGTGAGAAAGGAGGCAGGCTCAATGATCATGTCACGTATTTCCTCAAGGTTGTGACGATTATCAACATAGGAACTCAACATGTCCCTCTTTCTTCCTAGAGGAATGTGTACAACAATGGTATTATTAGAAGAACCACAATATTAGGCAGTTGCTTGACCACATTCATCTGGAGAAAATTCTGAACCCTGGGAAGGAAGAAAGGGGGGTTTTTAGAAGATTTTATTTAAATCAGAAATGATGTTACTGCCACTGAGTTCGGTGTTGGGTTTTCAGAGATTGTTCATGATACCATATTGCCTTACATTTGTAATTAACAACTGCCTTCTTTACATAACATTTTTCAAGCCATTCTTTCCCATCTTAGTGCTTCACTATGTGAAAGCACAAGAATTTAATTTTTTATAAATGTAAAAGTAACAATCACCAGCCTTGCTATAATAAACACTTGACAAGATCTTGGTCATCTACCAACTTTTTGTGATTTCAAACAACTATAGAATCATGAAAAATACACCATATTTAATATAGATGTACTACACCCCCAAAAGATACAAGCAATAGATACAAAGAGAGACACAGAGTGAAGCAAGGGAAGTGTCACAGAACAGAGCTTCCATTTTGCAAGAGGAATGCTGCTAAGCTCTCTCTGGTGGGCGTGGTCTTCAATCAGGAATGTCATTCTAAGCTTTAGGACTTTTATTGGCCTTCCGCATGGCCATGATAGATTGCATTATGTTCTGTGAGTCTCAACATCAGGCCCTGAGATGGTCCCTCTTTGTCTGGTCAGACATCATTCATTACCGTCAGGTGTTGGTGTGATTGAAGAAAAAAACAACAACAACAAAAAAAAATGGAGAACAATGGCTTTCTGCAATTTGATTCCACACCTGGAAAATAGTATATGGATAGAGAATGAAAAAGAATAAATAAATTTTCCTTCCGGGCATCCTCATGTCCCAGTTGACCCAGATAATGTTGGGCCTCAGTGAAGACAGCCATGTAGGCAAAGTTTGTGCCATGCTGTTGTTTTGAGGAATGAAGAAACAGCCTCAATTAAGTGTGGCTGCCCATGCTTAGATGTTAACAGTTTCTCTATTTATTCAAAACTCACTGTCTTTGGAATAATGGTGGATGCAGCAGAAATAGTGGCCTTTCCAGGAATCATATTTCTTTTTCTCTCTTTTATTCTTGTTGTTGACAATATGCACAGCAAAGCATACACCAATTCAATTGTTTCTACATTTGGGTGGCATTGATTACACTCTTTGAGTTGTGTAAACTTTCTCACTCTCTTTTTCTGATTTATTCCTTCCTCATTAACATAAACAAACTGATCCCTAAAGTTTCTATCTAATCTTTCGAGTGGCTGTTGTTACTGTGAGCCCACATAGACGTGAGGATAAAGATTTTTGCTTTGTTAGGCCAGACTCCATATTGTTAGAATAAAACTCCACATTTTTAGTTAAGATGCCATTTCTTTAAAGCCTGGCTTCAACCTTGCGTTACAATTAACTTGTTTTCTCTCTAAGTTACAGTTCTTAGTTCCCGCTACATCTTGTTACCTAAGACAGTCATCTATGACAATAAAGCCTCCTGGGCTGGACTTTAGGACTGGCCACCTGGGCTTTAACAAACACCAGTGGAAGCTCTTAAGGATTACCTGACTGCTGGGGTACTTCACAGGAAACATTCCTTTCTTAATTACCCGTTGCCTTATCTAACTTTTGGAAAATTGTTAACTAAACTTGCATATGTGCTGTGTCTCTTTTTCCTTTAGCATAAGAACCCCTAAAAGAGCGCTGGTGGCTCAGTGCCTAAGGCATTTGACTGCTACCGAGAAGGTTGGCTTTTCAAACCCACCAGCTGCTCTGTGGAAGGAAGGTAGGGCAATCCAGCAAAGACTTTGCGTTTTGGAAACCCTGCTATGAATATAGTGCCTGCCATGAATCTGAATCGACTTGATGGCAGTAAGTTTGGTATTTTTATTTATTTATTTATTTATTGTGATTTGGGTGAAAGTTTACAGAGCAAATTCACTTTCCATACAGCAGTTCACACACACATTGTCTCATGACATTGACTACAATTTACCCCAATGCAACAGCTCACTTCCCACTTCCTCCTGATAGTTAACTCTTCCCTGTGTCCGTCCCTCCATGCACTCCTGCCCTTGAGCTGTCTCTCTGTGCACAAACAGCTCTTCTTTCTCCCATGATTGTTTATTTTTATTTTTTAATAGTAAGTAAGAAGTAGAGCAGGTATTTTTGGAGTCACAGAGACCCTGTCTGTTTCTCACTGGCACATGTCATAATTAAACTCTTCCTGAACTCTGTTGTGGACTATTGGCTGTGGCGCTCCAAGGCCAGACCACGACACTTTTTGGGTTACAGTTTCCTGCCACCCAACATGGGGACTTGCAAGTCCCTCATCCTAGAGTCGCCCTCTTAGGGACTGCTTGAGAACAAGGAGGCCACTCTGCCTAGTTGGGAGTGTCTGTTGGAAGAGGAAGAGGTGTATCCTGGACTGCAATTCCTTAGAGTATATTCTTAAGAATAAGTTTATTTTGCTGGGGATCCTATGAGGAAGACTAAGGTGAAGTTTTTGTGTATCGACTCCTGGCCCAAGTATTAACTCACTGATAGAATCCTGGCCAGAGTTTGATTCATTAAGTTACAATAATGGTTTACAGCTTATTTTGTGCTGCACTAGGACAGGGAAACAGAATGAGAAAATCTATCTTGAATGTTTCCATGACATTGTGGCATAAAAAGGAATCACAAACAAAATGTAAAATTCGAGCTCTTGTTTTAGAGGTATCTGAAAATGATGATGAAGTTTTAGATGTTCTTTTAGCTCCTCCAGCAAAGCGAAGAAATCTTCAGAGAGGGATGAAAGTGACTGCGTCCTCTCACTCTCCCTTCCTCTTGGTGTCCAAACACCAAAATACAACCTATCATCCCACCCTGTGCAGCTGAAGGGGGGCTGAAAAAAGTATGGTGTCTCCCTCCCACACCTGCTCAGGTGTGGAATTTGGCCCTACCTCAGGGGGGCTATTTCCTCTCAGACAGGTACCAGTAGCCAGAAGAGATGAGGACACATATATGCTGTGGGTTTTTACTCTCCCCCACCAACTTGTCCAACTGGAAGAATAGCCTACTCTCTTACCAGTCAGACCTCTGCAGCATGTGTGATTTCTTTTTCCTCCATTTTCAAGACTCACTAGTCCTCTTGGGCAAATTGTCAATCTCTGATAGATATTTTTTCTGATGGCTGAGGAAAGACACATGGTTTTCCTGAAGGCTTGTAAAAGGGCAGAAGTCTGGTATTCTGTGGAAGGGGCAAATGGAGTTCTTCCCAAGCTATCCTTGCCCTCTACTGAGCCAAGTGGGACCCAAATACCCATGCCAGCCTGGTTTGTCTCCACATATCCAGAGAGTGTCTGATGCATGGTCTCCAGCACAGAATCCCAAAGCAACTTAACTTCAGCAAGGTAAGAGAAGTCAGGCAGATGCCAGAAGACAGTCCTTCAGCTTTTTTAGAGCAAATTTCTATGACCTTTCTATAGTATACTAATGTTGATCCTGAAGCTGAGAAGTATGCTCCCTTAGTTAATGTGACTTTCATGGATCAGAGTGCTCCCAATATTCCAAAGAAATTACAGAAAATAGAAGGAGGAGTGAATATGTCCTTTTCCCAGCTCATGGAGTTAGCTTTTAAGATGTTCACCAATAGAAACCAGGTGCAGAAAAATAAAAAAAAAGCAAAGAGATGAAAACTCAGGACTCCCTCCTTCCACTGCCTTAGCAGGTAAGACACCAGGGGAGCCAGAGGGTACAGGCATTAAGATCCCAGGAAACTCCACCTTGACAGAAACTAGTGTGCAATTGGCAAAGAGGAAGGCCACTAAAAGAAAAATACCTGAAAGCGGGACAAGGCCCTCGAGACCTGGCCCCTCAATTCCAGGGAGCAGTGGCTGAGAAGAGAGGTGAAGTTCAGAATGAGGGGGACCAGAGGAATCCTTTTGTTTGTCATTTGCCTCCTAGTGTCCAAATGCTTTTAACCAGATAAAGAGTTTGCTAGCCACAGCTCTGGGGCTGGGGCTCCCAGACTATGACAAACGTTTTAAGCTATATTTAAAAGAAAGAAAAAGAGTGGCAGTGTGAGTCCTTACACAGATCCGTGGGCCCTGAAGGTGTCCTGTACCTTATTTCTCACAGACTCTTGATGACATGGCCAGAGGATGGCCCGCTTGCCTCTAGCAGTAGCAACTACTAGCATCCTAGTTCAAGAGGTTGAAAAATTTAGCCTGGGTATGTTGTCACCCATTAAGTGAGGAGAAGAAGGGACATCTAGGGCTCACTTCTAGCCATCTGGCAATTTACCAGGTGTACTTACTGGGATGCCCCAAAGTGAGCCTAATAGTTAGTTCTGGAATCAACCTGGCCACGCTTTTTGCTGCAAACCTATTGAGCCAATTATGCACGACTATCTAACTATTTTCCCACGATGAGACTGGATGTATATGCTATAAACAGTCAATCCACTGAAAGGGAGTTTCCTAGGACTGTGGCCTGCTTCCAATATATATATGGACATCCTGGGAAAATGAGAGAACCATCTATGGATCTGGATCCTATTGTGCTGCCTACAACTGTCCTTGAGTCAACAATCCACCATTCTGCCTAATGATCTTGGATTCGTCATCCGCTGGAGTCAACAGCTGGTATACTGCCTGCCAACTTTGAGCTCATCAGCCCCTGTGGCTGCAAGAGTTGAGAAAAGGCTCCAGTTTGATGTTTGATCCAGGAACTTGGGCCTTGCCAACTTCTATTACTGTGTGAGCCATTTTCCTAAGATAATTTTTTTTCTTTCTCTCTATAAGCTTTACTGGTTTTGCTTCTCTAGAGAACCCAGTCTAGCACACTGAAAAAGGTTCAAAACTAGGGAGTTATAACAGGGATTTAAGAAAGAAAGAGAGAAAGAGAGAAAGAAAGAAAGAAGGAAGGAAGGAAGGCAGGGAGGCAAGAAAGAAAGAAAAAGAAAAGAAAGGAAGAAAGAAAGGAAGGAAGATAGAATTAGT